AAAATAATAAGAAAATAAAATACCGGGCTTTGCACCCGACACGTGCACCTTCTGCACTTTGTGCACGTGGAGCACTAAATAAATCAAAATATTAATAACTTGACTCGGAGCGCATTCTAAATGTGTCCCGAGCACATAGCTTCAAAATAAATCAATTAAGATAATCTATAACAGAGAATCTAAAATTGAGCCTCTTGCACTTGTCGGGTGCACTTTCTGCACTTCGTGCTTATCGGACTTTAGAATGACAGAAATGTCTAAACTTGTCTCCCGCGTGTCCGTGACGCTAACAGAGAGCCAAATAAAATAATATAATATAAATAAATAACATAAAACGAATCATATTAAATGATCTCGTTCGAGCGCGGTAATTAATCCTACGCTTATCTTATCGGCTAAACTAATTACTAGTTCATCTATATACATTATCTAATACTAAGATAATGTCTGTACATTTTCACAGACAAATAACGATCTCAGTCTCTCCAGGACGGGCCTGGCTGAGGTTCGACTGGCTTCCTCGCGGCACGACGAAGTCGGTATAACGGCGTCCTCTTCCCGTCCGCATTGATTTGATATGTCACGGCCTCCGTGACCATTCTCACCGGTGATTCCCTCAGGACTGGGACGGTGAATACTCGATGGCGATGGTCGGCGAACCTGCCGGTCGCAAGATTAGGTTTAGGTTAGGTTAAGTTAGGTTAGGTTGTGACCGGACCCTCTCTGTGGCGAGCCACCTTGACGTGGTGGAGAGACTTAGGTCGCCCCCGGTCTCCGGGCCCATCGGGCCCTCCGCTTCGACACTTAGATGTCGGGGGAGGGGTCCGGTGGGTCCTTCGGGCCCCCACTTCGACACTTTCGTGTCGGGGGTCCCGGCGACCGGGGGCGGCTGACTAAGAGCTCGCATTGCACTTCCCTCCCCGAAAGGGGAGGAAGGGGGGTTACGCTCCCTCCGGGCACTCTGGCCTGATGCGCATAGAGGTAGGTGGCCCTGACTACAATTGCCCGGATTGAGGATCCCGTTAAGGGTAGAAAAACACCCCAATCCTCTTGTATCCCCAGCTCATGTTCCTCATCCCCAGACATCCTTCTCTGCCTCTCTCACCCATCCCTACCCTTACCTCCTTTTCCTTTCCATGACCCTTGGAATCCCAACTCCTGGTGTGTGAATGTGAGTGCATGTATGCTTTTGTGGGGATGGTGATCCCTCCAAAACCATCCCAGAGAGGCGTACTCTGGTCAAAAAAACGCACCATAGATCGACCATGGATATGAACTCGGATAAAGAAAACGAACTTACGGTGTCAGAAGGTGTTCGGAGCCTTCAGTGCCGGCGTAACGGGGATATTGTCCTGGTCACTGCTGCGTCGTTATCGGACTACGGGCCACCCGAAATGTGCTCCGCAGGCATAACGGGGGAAATGACGTCTGCGAGGATGACAGCGGATTCCTTGGGAAGTACTGCTGCTGATGAGGATGATCCTGAACCTGGAAAAGAAAAGAAGGATAAAATATCTGGTGATGAGGGGGCATCTGCGGGATCAATTATAGACTCATCGGAAGATATCGATGCCGGGGAAAGTACTGTACCTGGTGAACAAGATGAAGCGACTGGTGATGATAATGTAATTGAGATATCGTTTGCTGGCCCGCCGAATAATACTGCCGTGGAGGTTGTTTTTGTACCTGAAAAGAAAGGAGACAATATGTTAAACAGTGAGGACGAAGCTGATGGAGATGTTTATGTGTCATCCTTAGAAGACCTGCCAACTCCTATTACAGTGGTGAGGCCTGGCCCGTTGAGTCAGCGTGGAATCGTTCCGTGTCGGGTAAATCTCGAACGGTGGGGTCCTGATGCTGCCACGCCTGTTCGAGCGGTGAGAAAAAGAAGATGCATTCTGGTCGATCAAATGTAGATGAAGTGGCTAAAGTATGCGATATGAGACCGAAGGATAGTGTTGCGAGTGCGCACTTATGAGAAAGTAAGCCAAGTACATCCAGAACTAAAAGAAAGGCGGCCGAATCGAGCTCCGAAGCGGAGCCTATGAGTGAGTCTGCGAGGAGTCCTAAGATATTAAGGCCTCGTGGTGTAAGGACATTTAGTAAGTGTTCTCGGCCCTTGAAGAAAAAGATGAAATCGTCCACGAGAAAAAAATTCTGAACGGCGGATGAACAGCCATCAGATGGTCATCAGGGGCGGTCTCCACAGACAAGTCCGCCGGCTGATTCTGGCCCTCTGAGTGAAAAGAAAGGCAAGAAGATGGTCGGTAGAAAGCCTTTCCTAAATAAGGAAAAGGTTCGAACCGGCTAGTCATAGAACTCGAAGAGGTATCTCAAGATTTTGAGGAATTAAGAGATCGGTCTACCCCTAGTCTTGGTGCAATGGCACAGAGATGGATAGATGAAATTGATTTTATTAAAAGAAATGTAAAACGATGCAGGGTCCCTTAATGCGACGCATGGCCGAGAGAACCGGTCGCACTCACAAAGCTAGTACAATTGATGGCTGAGCGAGTACAGGATAACGGAGATATCAGTTATCTGAAAAAGCAAAATATTGAAATGTCATCTAGGGTGATATTTATGAGAAGGAACTAACTAGTCTAAAAGGTGAGGTAAAGGAACTTACTGAGCTTATAGGTGAGTTTTGCAACAGAAAGCTTTAGTTGCTGTAGAGGAGAAAGAGAAAGCTGAGGCCAGTCGGCGTTATCTGTTAAGAACGAAGCAAGATAGGGCAACCTCCCCAATGCCACAGATTAGGGAGTCCCCTCTTCGCAAGACGTATAACATCTGTAATAGGTGTAGAGAACACACTTATCGGGATAGGGATAGTCTAATCAAAGGTAGGAAAGATAAAGGAAGTACTTACCTGCATAGTGAAGAATCCATATTGCCTGGTCCGTCGATGCTGCCTGATGAGTGTGGAGACGTCTGAGGAGTTTGCTCTGCCAGAGTCCATCGATGAGCCTAGAAAAAGAAAAGAAGAATTAGAGAAGAATAGAAAGGGTACTTACCTGAGAAGAGAGGAGTTTCCGCAGCTGAGCCGGTCGTCGCGTGATGTCCGTCCTGGAACGCCGAGAGAGATGGTCTGCTGAAGTCCCGCGATGAACCTGGAAAAGAAAAAGAAGAGTTAAAAAAGATAACGGAAGAGGTAATGAGACAACTGCAATTTGCTGAAAATAAGAAGTTGCCGCCTCAAATAACGAAGATGGAAGACCAAATGAGCCCTCCTCTCCCTCAGCGTACGCCGAGGGTTAGAGTGAGGAGCAACATACAATTGGTTCCCCCTCGCGACAATGCTCCTGTTTTACGGCCCCTGCAGACTCCAGATGCCCCTGGGAGCATCGGTATGTCTGGCGGGGAGGCCGGAGATACAAATGACGAATGGAGCGCTGTGAAAGGTAGAGATAGGTGGAGGGAGAGGCGAGAAAGAAAAGCTATTCCTCCACCGCCGCTATCCATCGATTCTCCGCTTGTTACTGACACTCCTGAATCCAGGGAGCGCGGTCCAACGCCTAAGGTTTCGGAGAAAGGTCGGCACGCTGTAAATAAAAGAAATAAAGATGTAAATAGTAGAGATAAGAATGTAAATAGTGTAAATAATACTAATAGACACAATACAGGAAAACGAGAAGAAAAGAATACGCGTCGAAGAGTCCCTCGTAGTGCAGCTGTGGCAATTAGAGGTGTCGCTGAGGGATTCTCATACACTGATGCTATACGCATAGCGAAAGAGAATATCTCGTTAAAGGACATGGGAATCAAGAACATAAGGATTAAGAAGGCGCAAGGAGGTGCACTACTTATTGAAATCTCGGATCCTGATGGTGGTGAACAAGCCGAGAAGCTAAAGAGTGAATTGGCCGAAGTATTAAGAGAAACGGCATTCGTAACACGTCCAGTCCGGCAAGGTGATCTGAGAATAATTGGGATTGACGAGTCGGTGACACCTGAAGAGGTAGCTGCCACAATAGCCAGTGTAGGAGATTGTAAAATGGATGAAGTGGTAACTAGTCCCATAAGACCCATGAGCAATGGGTTGTATATGACCTGGGTCAGACTCCCTCTGGCGGTTGCTGTCAGGGTGGCCGGTCGAAGGAAGATCATGATTGGATGGGCCACTGCCAGGGTAGAACTCTTAGATGCAAAGCCAATGCAATGCTGGAAATGCTGGGAGTTTGGGCATGTGCAGGCAAACTGCAGCTCCAATGCCGATCGACGCGGATCGTGTTTCCGTTGTGGGCAAGCGGGGCAGGTTGCAAGGAATTGCCATGCACAGCTGAAATGTGTGTTGTGTGCGACTGCGGGAAGGGATGCGCGATACCGTCTTGGAGCGGTGGGTTGTGGATCCCTTCCTAGTAAAGAGAGCCTGAGTCGGAGACAGGGTACGAGGGTTGGCTTGGACAAATAAATGCGCATTCTTCAATGCAATTTAAATCGAAGTCGGCCTGCGTACGACTTGCTTATGCAGCACATAAAGGAATGGAATGTCCAAGTGTGCTAATTAGGCACTATAATAGTGTGCCTATTGCTGAGCCGCCATATAGTCTACAAGATGGCCCCGCGCTGTCCCAGTGTAAAAAGGGATTGGCTGCTGTCTGGTGGGATTGTCGCGCGAATATCGGGTCAATAAAGGTCAGGAAGAAGGGTGATGGCTTTGTTGTTGTGGGAGTTAAATCCATGGACATAATAAGCTGTTACCTATCTCCGAGTGACTCCGTAGCGAATGATCGGAGACTCGATGAAATGGCGGAGTTTCTTCGACCTACGGCTTCGGAAGCTATCATAGGCGGAGACTTCAATGCTGCTTCTACTTTATGGGGAGCTCGGGTTGCGAACACGAGAGGCGACCATGTCGAGATATGGGCGGCTGGCTTAGACCTAAGGATTTTAAATGTTGGTGATGTGTCCACATGTGTACGTCCGCAAGGGTCATCGATTGTAGATTTGACTGGTGTACGTCGAGGCTCGCTGGTAGAGTAGCAGAGTGGCGAGTAGTAATGGATACTGAGACCTTGTCGGATCACAATTATATTATGTTCGAATATGGTGAATCTCCAGTACTCCCTAGTCGAACACCACTAGGGTGGAATTCGAGAAAGATGGATTTGGACAGGTTTCAGGCCTCTTTGTCTTGGAGATGTGCAACATGTCACTTGTCGTTGGAAGACAACACAGCTGAGGAATTCGCGGATTGGATTGCCACAACAATGCGCGATGCGGCAGATTGCAGTACACCTAGATTGGTAAGACCACTAGTTAAAAGATCTGCATACTGGTGGTGTGACGACATCAAGAACTTACGATCGGAGGCTATTGCTAATAGACGCAGATGGCGTCGAGCTATTGGTAAGCTTGCGCGTGGCACTATAGATCAACTGGAAGTAGATAGATGTCAGCGTTCTTATCGGCTAGCAAAGAAGAAACTGCGGATAGCAATTGTTGCCGCAAAAGCCCGTGCATGGGGAGAGCTGCTTGGTCTTATTGATGAGGATCCTTGGGGCCTCCCGTACAAGTTGGTCTTGGGCCGACTGAGATTAGCAACTCCTGCGCTAACGGAAACTTTGGACCCACCAGTAGTACAGGCGTTAATTGATGGCCTTTTTCCAAATGGAATGGAAACTGATCCGCGTGCAATCTGGTCTGTCCCCTTCTGGGACGATCAATGTATAGTTGATGCTGCGGAGGTACATCGGGCTATCAAGGATAGTGCTCATAACTCGGCGCCGGGAGTGGATGGTATTCCCTTAAGAGTTACTAAAATTGGCTCCCTTGGAGATGATAGAGAAAGTCGCGGAATGCTTTAGATCCGGCACTTTTCGAGAAGATGGAAACGAGCTAGACTCGTGTTGATCCCAAAGGGGGTTGCTCCTGAGGGAGAATTACCCAAGGTAAGGCCAATTTGCCTACTTATGGATATTGCCAAATTGTTGGAGCGGATCATCACTTATAGAATAAACGCCTGGATGGCGGAATCCGAGGACGCTGCCCTATCCGGAGATCAGTACGGCTTTGTAGCTGGCAAATCTACATGCGACGCCTTAATGAGGTTAAAAAGCACTGCGGAAATGGCTTTTCGAGAGGATGGTGTTGTTTTGGCCATCAGTCTCGATATTTAAAATGCCTTCAATTCGATTCCGTGGCCAATCATCAGAGAAGCGATGATAAGGAAGGAGTTTCCCGATTATTTGAAACGGATTATTGACGGATACCTGTATGAGAGATCCGTAGAATACACTACATCTGGTGGTATCCAGGTTAGGCCGGTCAGGGTGCCCCAGGGCTCTGTCCTGGGCCCCCTGCTATGGAACATAGATTACGATCAGGTTCTCCGTGGCGAAGTTGAGTACGGTTGTGAAATTGTATGCTATGCCGATGATACGCTGATCTTGGCGACGGCGGATACAATTGATACGGCAGTTAGACGCGCTAATT